TATATATAAAAAATAACAACAGTAAACACTGCTCAGTTCAAATTTTATTATGAAAATCATTTTGCAGATTTGATTATTGTCATCTGTATATGTATATATATATATGTATTTATATTTATTTATATAATTATATTATTCAGAGGATGCATCAGCACAGTATATCTTAATAGGAAGACTATTGCTAGAATAAATATCAATACATTAAATCTGGCTGAATTAAAAAAAAGTTCCAAAAACAGAAAAGAAAAAAAAAATCATTACAAAAGCAAAAAGTGCTAAAAAAAAAAAAAAGAAAAAAAAAAGGAACAATTTACGTAAATTAAACCCAAAATTGCTGATAAAAGATTTTTTTTGTTGTTGTTGTTTTGTTTTGGGTTTTTTTTTGTTGCTAAAATTACAAAGATGTTTTTCACAGTTTGTGTCTTTGTTCTCATGCTGGCTGGAACACCGATAGGGACCATGCAGGAACGAAGAGCGACAGGATGCTAACAAACCACCTGATCTGATCCGCGACGTTGGTGTGCCCCACCCAAAGCAGCCCGCGAGGATCCGACCTGATCCAACAAGGTCACGGAGAGGTCAGCAGGGGTCGGTGGACGCACTTCTCCTTCTGTTTTTTTATGTTTTTAATTCTCTGTGGTGCGTAGTCTAAAACCTGGCTGAACAGGGCTAGAAACTGGCTATTCTTGGAAGAGAGGGGACCCAATGAACCGTTCTTTTTTCTTTTCTTTTTTTTTTTACCACAATCAAACATTTCCACGCTGCTTTGGGAGACCACATGCAAACATTTTGAAACCTTTCAGGAGCAGAAATGGCCCTGCCACAGGTGATTTACTAACTGTTCTCACAAGAGTATGTTTGCCACTAATGACAGTGCTCAAATTGCTACTAAAAAAACGTGAGAATGTGCATAATATTAAGAGTTTATTGTACTAAATTTAATTAAATCAGAACCACAAATAAACTTCACAAGAATGCTCAATGCTTATTCTTTAATTTTATGAGCTCTGTTACTGATAGAGATCTATTAGCTGCTGCATGTAATCTCCTCATCCACATTGAGCATTTTATGTGTCTGTAGATTTTTTTTCTTTTTAAAGAATTGCCGAGTGGGAACATTAAATCCGTGCTTGGACAGCAAAAAGAAAGTCAGGAGGCTCTACATGCCCATCCAAATAAAAAAAATCACATAATTTTCCTCTCCCATCTTAGAAATATTACACCGATTTGACATTATATACAGCTATCTACAACCCGATTTGAGCAGGGTCAGTTTGTATCACAAACACAAAACGAGTGGACCGAGCGTGAGACGAGTTCCGGTTTCAGCAGGAAAGATTTTTATGAACTGGGCGTGTCGGGCAAAGCGAGGAAATAATGCAAAAGAAAATAAGTGGGGGGAAAGAATGTTTCCAGCAGTGGGAAAGTGTGTTTTTGCTTCTCTGCACCTTTTTTTAAAAAAAAATCCTGGTCGAAAGTTTCAACATAATGTCTATGGAAACGAACCAGTTTTGTATGCTTTAGTGAAAAGGTTAACTTTATTCAAACTAAGAATTGTGCTATTTCTTTTACTCTGTCTGTGGGTGTGCAGCACTTTTTCAAAGTACATTTGACATATTTCTATATTTCAGATTCAAGCTTTGCCGGAGGAGAATGTCTGTCGTCATCGTTGAACAATTAAATTGCATTCTCTTCAAATATTTTTAGTTCTGAACCTTTTTTCAGTCAGTGGCTACGAAGTTTAACATTTTATGACTGCAGGTCACGCAAACACACACGCAGAGCTGTGGGTATGGTGTTTTGCCAGGAACCATTTTGGCATCAAACTCCTGTCTGCAGGGCCCTGCAGGAAACAGTGAGAGGAACCGAGAAGATCATTAGATTGTCCCTGCTGAACGTCTCGGAAAAAGAGCAGCCATGTTGAACTGAAGCCATCTATGACGTTAGAAAGTGAGGATTGTTTCACTGTAGTCTGATTCAAATTCAAATTTTTAGTCCAACAGAGAGCAAGAAAATGAATTAATAATTTCCTTCACCTATTTTTAAATGGCAAATCATTCCACAGTAAGTGACAATTTCCATTGCGTTTTGAATTGTAAAACAATGTTTTACTAAACTACAACAAATAGATTTGAGTTAATTCAATCACTTTTCAAACATCCCGTAGCATGATAGAACCTCCACTGTACTTTCCTGAAGTTGGGTTTTTATTTTATTTTTTGGACCTAATCATACAGGAACTAACTTCGGCCTTGCTTTCAATAAGAACTACACTGTGGTCCATAGAGTAAATATTTAGCAAAGTGTTAGGATGTACAACTAAATCTTTACATTGACAGTTTTGACTCATTTAAAAAAAATATCTCAAACCTTTTATTCATTCCTATTGTGTAAGATAGTTTTAGATGTTAGATCAGCCTTGTTACTCCAGGGTTTTCTTTTTGCCATCTTTGTGAAACACAGGTGAAAAATATATCGATACTTTTTCCAAGCCTTTTACTGAAACTAATTTAAATGTACAGGTCCGATAAATCCAATTTAAGCCCTTTGGATGGCAGAACAATGACCTAAAGTATAACGACGATACAAAACTGGTTTGCTTGCATTTATTTCCAAAGTTTGAACCAGGACCAAACGTCCCGTTCGGCTGTTGTGCGTCCGTGTGGGTGAACTTGTGTGGCACCGGAAGTCCCACGCAGAACCAACAGGCGACAGGCTAAGCCTGACACGTCATCAGTTAGAACGGCAATCACAACACTCAGGTGCGCGCATGAGCAGCTCATGCAGGCCGAAGTGTGCGAATGCAAGACTAGTGCACACTAGTGCACACACACGAATGCTTTTCCCTGCTACACACAGACATGTGAACAGATAAATGAGATGAGGGAAGCTCTGATTCTTGAACTCCACGCGAACGCCACTTTTGTTTGCTTCTCCAGACGCGGGAGGTCAAGTAAACCCACGGCGAGCACAGTTGCGTTTCAGATTTTCACGCCGTGTCTATTTATAGCCTGGCTGCCTCCCTTTGCTCCCCTGTTTTTTTGCGGTCCGTCCAGCTCTCACATGCTGCCTCATTGTTCCCCTCTCCCTCCCCGGTGTATCATATTCCATGCAGGGACGAGTACAACGCCGGTCTCCTGTTAACGTCAGCAGAACAGCAGATTGCACAAACATGCGCACGCAATCTGGCATTTGCGTAAACCCACCAGGCGTGTCGAGCTGATTTTTAAAAATTTTATTAATATCATTTTTTTCAATGCAGCATGTGCCGCTATTAGATCAGATCAGCCGCCGGAGGTGGGCCTGAAAAATCACTGCAGGTCTTTTTGTTTATTCTGGTTTTATGTATGTGTACATATATTTAGATAACCACATGCCCTGTCGGCTGCACCCCATCTGTCAAAATTAAAATATTGAAAACATAATTTAAATTAGATGTGTTTTTTTTAGATATATATTTAAATATATAGGTTTTAAAAAAACAAAACAAAAAATCAATAAAGCATCCCTGGCCTCTAATATGTAAAGGGTACGTTCACAAGGTAATTGTGGAGTTTCAGAGGACCTCACATTAGTGCAAAGTACAATACAGCAATAACAACAAATACATTCATAAAAAATAAAAAATAAATAAAAGTAGTAATAGCCATGAAGTGAAATCTTTAGTTACATATTCACATTTGGATCTAAACGATAAATCTGAAGAGCTGATGCATCAATAGCGAGGTGATATGATGAGCAATATTATTGGATGGAAAATTACAGTACATAGCAACTACAGTAACCGCACTTCTTGCTTACAAAGAGTCTCCCTCCAGAAAGACAGTGTTAAAGCATTTCTTTACATGGGTAACATCTTACTTGAAGAGCCTTTCGGTCCTCTAGGAGAATGCGTATTTATTACAGCGACGCATCCGGAGCACGTTTTGGGTCGTTTCACTCAAATGAGCAGGTCTTCAAGTAAAACGTCCCCCTAAAATGCCCGAGCTTTGATAACGCTGCACACAAACACAAGAGGTGGAGACGGACGAGGAACAGTTGCTGTGCTTTTTTTTTTGCTGTTGTTGTTTTTTTGTTTGTCGTTGTTGTTTTTGCTTCTCTCCGAAGAGGAGGGAACACAGTTAAAATGGGTTGTCATCTTTGTCTTTGGGTTTAAAAAGTACACAAGCAGATTATCCTCCACTCCAATTGTTGCTAAGAGCATAACCTGAGAAAATGGAGAGAACGTGAACAAATGATGTGGCTCACCCAGCTCAGATTACGCTCTGCAAACACGGCCAGCCGATACCCTGTTGCTCAGCAGAACCACGACTTTGTTGTGCTAATGTACCAGAGAAATAAGACAATGGGACTCAGAGCCGCCATTGATGACATTACACAAAGAAGACAGAAGATACTTAAAACAAAATAAATAAAACAAAATGCACGTAAGGATATGTTGGTAAAAAGTATTGTGCTTTTGGCTGTTCTGTGTACAACATTAAGAGCTCCTGCATGAAAATGGTGTGTGTGTGTGTGGGTGTGTGTGTGTGTGTGGGTTTGTGTGTGTGTGTCTGATGCACTTTGGACTTGGAGCTATTAGGTGGTACAACATGGGAAATTATAAAGTGCAATGTGAGGGGGTTTAAGCTGAATGAGCCCTGTTTGTCTCCATGTGGTTAGTAAACAGTGACTGTCGGAGCCATATGCATGTTTCCTCTCTACTGACGACTGCATGCATGATTCCCACATGCGTGTGTGTTTATCCTGACTCCTGCTTCCTGATGTGGATAAATGGATGATGATACACAAAGGGCAGACAAATCTCTGGTAAAGATATGTAAAGAGCCTTAGAATAAATTCATCTTTTATTCCAGTAGCTAATCTGATTAAATAGATGTTTTTTTTTTTTTTTTAAATGTTCTCTTTACTTTTTTTGTTTTGATAGCTCTTTGGAAGGAACAATGCTTCTGCCGTTCCGAACGTACGCTACAGTGCAGGTGGTAAAAATTGCACATTTTGTCAAATTAGATAGTAATCGACGACTTGCTGTCTCAGAGGCCAGTTTCTTTCAAAGATAAGAGATTTTAGCAAACGCTGCTGGAAAATGGCAACATCTCTAAATCTACAGACTGAGGAATCTGTAAAAAAATCTTCTAAACCAAACCTGATCTGCAGCACGATAAGGACACCAAACCTCCACAGCATCGCAAACACATGGAGGCTGCTCCACTGTGTTTGGACCATTCGGTTCATTGATCAGATGAGCAAATGGACAAAAATGTCTCATCAATCCTGAAGGACGAGACGGGTATGACAGAGGAGTTGTGATCCTGTGGAAAACCTCTGAGAATAAAATTCTTTGATTGATTTATTTTTTTTAAATAACAATGTGGCGTCTTCTAGTAAACTGAAAAGAAAAAAAAATCAGATTTCCCAATACTTTTGGCAGGATAAGGAATCGCAACATTAGGTCAAATCAAGTCAGGAATGGTTCCATGGACACAACGTCTTAGTTAATTCTGCTTTTACTTAAAGTGTTTTACCGTATCTTTACCAGAGGTTCAAATTTGTCTGCTGTGTATTTAAAGTCAAACCAGAGACAGGACCAGCAGTTTTCTAAACGGGCCGTGTTTTCTTTTAGCCTCCTGTTTTTCTCCCTCCTTCACTGTGCTTTAAATTGACGAATTTTCTTCCCATTTAGCGTGACTCGTTACAAAGCAAACAGCCTAGGACAGAAGAAAAGGCATAAAGAGAAACTTTCACGTGAAAAGTGTCAAAGCGAGCTGATATTCTCGACCTCTCCCATTCGTCTCTCCGTCTCGGCATTGATTATCCGTCCTGGTAAAACAAGGCAGCCTCGTTTCTCCTTCTCCGTCCTCCGGTTCGCCTTCCTCCTCTCCGGTCGTTCTACGCTTCATAAACGTTTTAAAAGGATTGTTGCGTGTATCAGTGTACAAGCTCCTCATTTACGGTGATGATTTTCAGAGGCTTTGTTGCTAAATTGTTATTTTTAGTTTTTTACAAGACCAGAAGAGAAATGAATCATATTTTTTCCACCATCCCCTCCATCTCCGAGGAGGAACGATGAGGTGAATTGTTAATGCTGCTGTCAGACTTGAGTTGCTCCTCTCCTGTGACTGAGTAATTAGTTGAGGCTAAAGATGTTTAGACTAGATGGAAGATATTTACACACCCCCGTGGTTATATACACCGGAGTCCAGTGCCTGGGTTGTATGTCCAGCTGAGTGCTGCTCATGCTGGCAGTCTCAGATGTGTGATTCCTGCAGTTATTGGCATAATGGACCAATTTCAGCAGATGACTGATCTTAAAGAAGTAAAAAAAAAAAACCCAGTTATTTCTAAAGATGTTGGGATAGTGGGAGATGGAGAAGCACACATGAAGAGGCCAGATGAAAAGATAAACGATTTGAACTCATCGGGGACCTTTATTCTACTTCGACGATGGCTCCGATGTTTTTGATGCACGCAAATCTCCGCAGCCTCCACACGGGTTCCTTTCCTCGCTCCTGGACGCCGCGCCACCGTCTCACCTCCGCCCACTCAGACAAACACTTCTGAAGAGCTGCTTCTTTCCGGTGCGCTGCTGTGGTTCTGAAATCCCAACTCAAACAAATGGAGGATGTGGATAATAAGATTCCCATTGCCATCGCAACATTTTTGCTTTGATTGGATAGACAGAGAGTCTCTCCTTTGTCCTGTCCTTCTCATTTATCTCTCCCGATCAGCATATCCTCCCCTCTCCTCTCCTTCCACCTCCTCTTCTCTCCTCTCTTTCCGTCTCCTCTCCTCGTTCTCGATCTACATCACGCTGCATTTGCCCTTCAGTCTCTCTGCGCGGGACTGCTTCCCGGAGCGCTTGCCGTCGATGTTCAGGCTCATGTTCCTCTTCTTGTCCAGGTTGAGCAGCTCCTGGAAGAGCTCCGTGACGTTGTGGTTGGTCTTGGCCGACGTCTCCATGAAGGCGCACTTCCAGCGGTTGGCCTGGTCCTCCCCGTCCTTGGTCTCCACCTCACGATGGGTTTCATCGCTCTTGTTTCCCACCAGCATGATGGGGATGGCCTCGACGTTGCCTTTTATGGCCAGAATCTGCAGAAGAGAAAAAAAGTGAGCATGGAATATTCTCAGAGAAGAAGGCCTTTCATAAACAGACACACACCTGTTGATAAATAGGTTTCAGCTCCTCCAGGGACTGTTTGCTTGTGATGGAGTAGACCAGGATGAAGGCGTGGCCCTTGGATATGGAGAGGCGCTGCATGGCCGGGAACTGGTGGCTGCCCGTGGTGTCTGTGATCTGCAGGGTGCACACGCTTTTATCGCAGCTGATCACTTGCCGGTAGGTGTCCTCCACCGTGGGGATGTAGGTGTCCCTGAACGTGCCCTTGACGAAGCGCAGGACCAGGGAGCTCTTCCCCACGCCTCCCGCGCCGAACACCACCACACGGTAGTCGTTGCTCTGCTCCGGCATTCTGCCTCTGCAGGCTTAAGACAGTGCTGCACCTGAAACGGCAAAGATGGAAGCAAAGGGAGGAGAAAGACGACTCAGTGAGGCAGATGGAAGAGAAGCTTCCTTGATTTTTATTTGTTTCCGACAAATTTATTAATGTTGATAGCAGTTTTTTATCTTTTTCACCGCAACCACGGTAACTGTAGTACTTAAAAATATCTATGAAACTGAACTCAAACACCAGAATTTTTTTTTTTTTCATTTTCTGTGTTGAACAAAATATGTATTCAACAAATAGTGGACCTACAGATAACAGGATTTCCAAAATGAAGCTTATAGGGAATTACATAATTCCCTATATTTATATAGGAAAATTTACAACAATAATTTTCAATTTTCTACATTTCGCTGAAAGTTCAAAGTCACTTCTTTGACATCCTTCAGAGAATCTTGCCCAACATTCGCAGCTGTCATTTTTCTTAAGTGCAGATTTTGTGGCCTACCTAACTCAAAAATTGATCGAGTTACTTGTGGAGCACAGACAGACACATATATGTGCCTCAGCAAAGAATAATAAAAGAAAATCCTGAAAGGCGTAATTCTTGAACCTCCACAAAAGTCACATCAACCAACCAGCAAACCAACCAACCAATCTGCTAAAGAAAATGCAGCCAATCAAACAAGCAACCTACAGACCAAATAACTAACCATCCAATCAATCAATCTGATTGGTTGATGGAAATTACCCAAGCAATAAAACAAGAAGGAAACCAAAAGTAAGCAACAGGCAAAGCAAGCAGCCCTCTGAAAAGAAACAAACAATGAAACAAGCAAGCAGCCAAAAGTTATCAACTACAGCTAATAAGTAACCAACTATATAGACTATAACAAAAATAATCAGCAATAAGGAAAGCAAGCAAATAACTAACCGGTGAAGCAATCTGCCGACCGACAAGTTTTATGAAGTGACGCTGTTTGCCTGCTGGTGACAAACTGTTAGTGTCGCTTTAGCACTTTGTTTAGCCATTGATGATTATCAGTGCAAAAAATATGTTGTGAGTCAAGAAATAAGCAAGCTTCCTCATCCAGTGAGAGAGACTTCAGGTAAAAAAAAAAAAAGCTATGTTTGACCTGCTCCGAGTTTAATCTCCTCATGCACCGTCTGTGGCGGTCTTTGCGAGTTCACAGCAAAAAGTCCAGTTAATTTAACTCCCACAGAGTTGATTTTAACACTTTTTTCAGTGCTTATATAGTCCACTCTCATCAAGAGTTAAATTAACACTTTCAATATAGTTAAAATTTTAACACTTTATCAGTTACTTATTTAACTCACAAAACAGGGTTAATTAACACTGTGGCATGTACTGGATAACACTGATCCAGGAACAAAAATTTACCACTTTATTAGTGTTGATTTAAACTTTCAAGTGTTATTCATTATGATTATGATTAATTATAATAATTATTAAGAAAAAAAAACTTGACACAAGTACATACATTTGAACATTTATTTTTGCAGCTGTGTTCCCAAAATTTTAAATTGTGGTACAATGATCAAACATTCATTAGAAATGCCATAAGTTTTGAATATCAAAAGAAATTTAAGTTCAGGGATTTTTACTAAATGCCTTTCTTCACTTTGAACAATTTTGAAAGCATGATGATGATCAAATGTTTCCGCTTGGATACAGTTTTTGACACATAAAAACAGGTCAACATTTTTTAGCCTGACTTACTCACAAGAGAGCAAAACGGACTGGTTAGCAGCCTTGCTCTCACGTCCCTAACTCTGGGCGATTCTTCATTTTGCCCACGTCAATGTTATACACTGTTTCTGCAGAAATGTGTAGAAATTCATCAATGCAGCATCGTAAGAGAAATTAAACACAAAATGTGCTTTGAATAGCTCATCAAATGTTCCAAGAGAACTGTTTTGTCTGGCATGGGATGAGGCACTTATCCATGACGATGTAGAAGCTGTCAATCTTGCTTTTCTGACGCCCAACAGCAAGGAGGTATGGCTGCAGACCCCATTGTCCCCGAAGATGCTCCTCTAAACTGCAGCATGGCTAAAATTAAAAAGATATACACCAAACATTAGAAACAAAACATACAGCTTTACGATACGTGACATAAAAATAAATTTAAGTATGCCCAGACATCTTCAAAGCTGTCATTCAAACATCTGTATTATGCATGTCTATAAAAGGAAATAGACAAATAATTTTGCATTTTAAATTTCAATTACCTTATGAATGACAACAAGTCTCTCATCTGCATCACTTGCACTGATTTTGGAGACTTCTGTCCTCCTGGTTGCGGTGGAAGAAGAAGTAACAGCGAGGCCATTTCTTGGTCATAGCCTGAGGACAAATTTATAAAAGTTTTCAGCTATAATATCAGAACTTTATGAATACTCTGAATAGTCAACTATCTTCAGATATATCCAGGTGCTTACTAGATGTGTTAGTGAGGTCATCGCTTTGAAGACTTTCCGCTGGACTGCACCAAACTTCTCAACTCAGGTGGAGAAGTGAAACGCTTAGCCTCCTTGATGACATTTGGTTTGAAGAACACATCCCACTTCTGCAGCAGTCTGGATGAGGTTTCTTCACTGAATAGGAGACGGAAGTCTTGATCAATCTTTAATAGCATGTAGAAATCAAACCATTATAACAATGTAAAAATCCACATTTAAAGACTTCAGTTGAACACTTACCAATCCTTTTGTGTCCAGGAACCCCGGGAATGTGGTCAGGATATATCATTTCTTCCACTGGCATCTTTAATAAGCTTGTGACGGTGCTCAAAAGTCTCTCTCATCTTCTGAAAGATCACGGACCTGTCTGTGGTGTGGTTAAGCAGAGAGATGGCCTCCTGGCAGGCATTCCCATCAAGCTGTTTTTCAACAATCACAGTTGTCTGTATATTTGGGCCTCCAGATTAAATGTAATTGGTGCTACTTGATGGCACAAGAGATCCTCTTTGAATCTTCCTTAGGACCGTTTTAAGACGCCATGAAATGTATCCAGTGCTGCTTGCTGCATCATAAAAGTGCTCCTAAAAAAAGAACAAAAATTAAATGCAAAATTACAGTTTTGAGTCACAAAATAAAAGAGCATGATTGATTGTAGAAAACAAACAAACAAACAAACAAAAAAACATTACATTGCCTTTTTTGGTGTATGGATCCTTGAGGGATGCCTTTGTCACTATTCCAAAGGCATACTTCTCTCTGATTGCTTTTGTGGGGAGGTGCCTAACAGCAGATTTTAAATTGGTGATTAAACCTTTTTTTCAATTATTATACATAAATTAAATAGTGTAAAAACATACCCTTGTTCATCAATCACGTGAGCCACCAGTATGTTCACCATTTGTCTTCTTGTGGCATCAGTTAGGGTTTCTGTAGTTTCATACTCCTGCAGAATTTCTTCACCACCAGACTTGCTTTGTAGGACACCTTCAACCAGCTATAAAATGAACAATAAAAAAAGAAAGAAAAAAAAAAGGAAATATGCAATATGCAGATGACCAAAATATGACAAAACATGTCTGGGCATACAAAACAGAATTTAGAGGCAGACAAAAAATATTGTTACATTTTTAGCAGACACTGAGTTATCAGGATTCTCAGTTTTTTGCTTCTTGTGTGGCATCTCATCCATTAGTATTGTTGATGTTGATGCATTTGAGTTGAAGCTTGAGTCAGAAGCAGATGACCATTCTGAGAACTCTGAAGAAAGAGACAATAGACATCAGTTACATTCTTTGGTAAAATCTGTATAACAGTTGATTTAATGTGCTGTGGTATCTCACCATCATAGCAGAAAACTGTCAGAACCACATTGCCTTGTCTAAGGAGGTCACTGAATATTTCTTCGTCAACTTCAGTATCTGTTGCATCTTTGTATGTAACTTTGGTATCAGGTGGCAGGCAAAATTGTTCAATGACTGAAAAAACAAGGCAAGATTTAGAGCCTAATTCTGTAATTAGCTGGATTTTTTTAAACTAACAGTTACTTGATATTGATCATGTGATTAGCATAAAACATATTAATGAAAATACAATTTTTACTTACCACAAATGTGTAAAATATGTGTTAAATAGACATACATTGAAAAGAATAATGCCTATGACCCAAACAGATGATAAATAAATAACAAACCTTTCTCATGAAACTGATTAAAGTCAAACGGCCCTTCGACTTCCTCCAACTTCACCAAACTTTTGCAGGTCACCAAACTTTACATGGATCAGCATTTTATTTCAGCATGGGATAAACCTAGACAAAGCAAAATAAGGTAAAGGTCAAGAGTTCACCTCACTGTAACTCTGCTATTGGTGTCACGTGACTTCGGCTCGTTGACGCTCCGCGGAAGCTAATAGTCGTTAGCTTACATTCAAGGCCAAAATTATCATTTTAAACGGCAAAATCGTATAAGTATATTTTTACGAGTGTATGGTCCGACAAAATATGTTTTGTAAGAATTACCATTATAATAATATCAGGTGTAAGTGCTACTAGCTACCAGCTAACATGTTGTGTAAAACTGTTGCAAAATGGACATATTCAGCTGCTTTTCATTATGTGGTAATTAGTAGAAATAGTCAAATCACTCACTCTGTCAATGTAATAGTGCTGGACAAAATATTTAGTAAGTTGGACACTTACCGTGTAGAACAGGAGATGAAGAAAATGGAGCCGTGTTCAGATTGAAATCAAACTGAAGCAGAGGGGAGGAGCTTATTTATCTCCCAGCAGAGTTAATTCAACACCAACGCAATCAACTCTGCGAAATAACTCCAACACTGGGCATCATTTAAATCGCTAAATGTTAAAATACACTTACTGAGTTAAATGAACTCTGACACGTTTAACCCTGAAATTTTAACACTCCAGTTTTTGCTGTGTTCTTGTATTTGTTGAGCGCCTCCGCCTGAATGTGCCATCGTTCATCTTCCGCAGTTCAACGCTCGCCTTAAGGCCTTGTAATAAGAAACTCCCTCGGATGTGATTATGCGGCTCTGCTACCTTCTGCTGTAATAAAA